CAAACTGGATTACTTGGCCTTAATCAGTTATCATATCTGTGATTGTAATTTGATGTCTAGAGTAAGAATTCAGTTCACAAATGAGCTATTGGGCCAGGAATCCTCATTCCTAAGATAAGATCTTGAATTAACTCCTTGAATTTATTACCCTCTTTGACTCCCAGAACAGCTCATCTGCCCCTCTGGTGTCAGTTCCGGATCTTTGTCAAAGATTGGCCTCAGATTGCCTTCCCAGCAGCAGGCACATAGTTCCTGATTTCATGTTTTCAGAACATTTTCTCAAAAAAAAAAAAAAATGCTCCACTGACACCTGAAACTAAGCACACCAGAGACAGAATTCAAAATCTGAAGACATTCCCACCCCCTTCCCAACTGGCAAATCAGTACTCAAATTCAGAAACCTACTGATAAAAAAAAACACCTATTGATAATAGAACATAGGTATCTTTTGTATTTATTCCTTTGTATTTCCAGTGATTGTCTATTCTACTTTTCTCAATACCTGGAACCTAAAATTTTGCAGCTGACTCCTGACCTCTGACTTCTCCCAGCCCATTTTCTCCACTGTTGTCAGGATTATTTTCTAAAATATAGATTGGATTATATCACTGTATCCCAAACCTTGTCGGCTTATTATTTATAGCAGTGCTATACATATACTGTGGAAATAAACTGTAACTACATATATGATCCATGGGGGGAAAAAAATCCTCACCTGAGGATATTTTTTCCATGGATTTCCAGTAGAAATATACTGTAACTACATATATGATCTTAAATGTTCTAGTAGCCACATTTTTAAAAAGTAAAATTAAATATCATTCATTTCAATTTATTTAACCCAATATAAGTAAAATATTTCATCATGTTCAGTAAAAAATTATTGCTAAGACATTTTACTTATTTATTTATTTACTTATTTTGGTATTATGTTTTTGGAATCCAGAGTCTATTTTACATTTAATAGCACATCTCAATCCAAACTAACCACATTTCAAACTCAGTAGCCACGTGTGGCTAGTGGTTCCCGTGTTGGACAGCATAGGTCAGTAGCATAAAGCTTAATGTTCTTCATCTGCAATATTGGGCCATCCACAATTTCACCTACTACTCTCCATTTTTCAGCTTCTCCCCACTCACCCAGGCACCAGCTATACCTACCGTATTTGCCGGCATATAAGACGATTTTTTGGCCCTGAAAAATATGCCTCCAAGTGGGGGGTCGTCTTATACGCCAGGTACACTTCAGATAGACTGCCCATAGTGCTTGCCCCGTGCCATAGTGGCCTCCCGATGCCCGCCCACTTCATTCCACATACCGTTCAGGCATCAGCAGCGCTGCTGGGTGTATGCTCGGCTGTTATGCGATTTTGCTGTTATGCGATTTTACCACACTCGCAAAATCGCACACAGCCGACCATACACCCAGTATGATAGCGCAAAATCACGAATCGCGATACCATACTGGGTGTATGGTTGGCTGTGTGCGATTTTGCGAGTGTGGTAAATTCGGGTTACCGTATATTTCTTTACATATGCATTGAAGATTCGCGATTTTGCGCTATCATGGTGCCTGTTAGAATGTTGAAGAGCTCGCACTTGCGCACTAGTGAGGTCCCAGGGAGATGCTGATGCAAGGGTGGACCAGACTGCTATAGTGACAGGGCGGGCAAACAGGGAGCAGGGACCAATCAAATCAGGCTTTGTATACAGCCAACAGCCAACCACAATACTGCCCCATTGTACAGTACAGCATAGAAAATGTCGACCAGTCAAACCCCTATCATCCCTATCATGGCACCAAGATGTCGTTGATGAACTTTTAATATCAGATGATGAAGAGGAGTTTGAAGGCTTTTAAGGTGAAACTGTCACGCCAGCAAACTTGCTAGGGACTTGCCCGGCACTTGCTCTCTCCCTCTATTTGTTATCTTACTTCTATCATTGACAGTCCCTCTAGGTTGTGGGCTGCTTGCCTGTGTTCCTGAGAAGCATCTACGGTACCAGTCTATAGAGTGTGTTTTCTTTAGTGAATTACCGGTATGTTTACCGGTAATAAACTTGCACTGTTTTATGTATATGTTTGATTACATACAGCCTTGTGACAGTTTTCCTGCATGTCATAAGCATTTGAATATAAATTAAAATGTTAAAATCAAATCTGATATTGTTTTACCTTTTATTTGGTGTGTGGAAGGTGTGCGGAAGGGGGGGTAGTCTTATACGGCGAGTATATAACAAACTCTGTATTTTGAGTGGAAATGTTAGGGGGTCGTCTTATACGCCCAGTCGTCTTATACGCCGGCAAATACGGTAATTGTCTGCCATACTTTTTCTTTTATTACCCTTCCCTGTCTGTGGAAGTCTCTCTCTCTTTTTTTTAATCCTCACCCGAGGATATTTTTTCCATGGATTTTTTTTTTTTCTGAGAGAGTGGAAGGGAGGGAGAAAAGAGAAAGAAAGAGGGAGAGGGTGGGGGTGAGGGAGGGAGAGAGAGAAAGAGAAACATCAACAGGAGAGACACATTGATTGGTTGCCTTCTGCACTCACCCTGACCAGGGCCAGGGAATCGAAGCACAACCAAGGTTACTTGCCCTTGGCTAGGGAATCAAACTTGAGACTCTTCTGTCCACGGGCTAACGCTGTAACCATTGAGCAACCGGCCAAGGCAGCAATCTTCTCTTTTAACATTTGTTTTCTTTACCTCTAAATGAAATTTCCCTTTATATCTGGATTGATTCCACTGTTTAAAAGGTGTCCTCTCTCCAGAGACATTGAAGCATGCAACAGACTGATGAATTTCAGAGGGAAGGGGGTGGGAGGCAGGAAGAGATTAACCAAAGAATGTATATGCACATATGCATAACCCATGGACAGATAATAGTGCAGTAACAGTAAAGGTCTTGGGAGGGGGCAGAAAGGGAGGGGGTCAATGGGTGGGAGGAGGTAGTACATCTGTAATACTTTCAACAATAAAGATAAATTTAAAAATAAAACAAAATGAAATTTAAAAATAAAAATAAAAGGTGTCCTCTCTTTTTGTGGATTGAAGCTTTTGCTAATGTAAAAGAGGAAATATTCATTTCTTTGTAGAAATAATTGCCTAGTATGAATTAGGTTTCAGATGTACATGTGAAAGATTATTCTGGTTTTAGCCTGATTCTAATCCCAACTATGGTTCTTCATATTATATAAGTTGTTCTTTGTAAGTAAATTATATATGTATGCTAAGGCTTCCCTCCCTCCACCCCCACCCCCACCCCACAGCTTTATTGAAAAGTTTATATGGTTTTTTAATCTCTTTTTCCCCTAAAGAGATTTAGCCAATGGAATTTTGCCTGAATTCTTTTTCCCATATAAAAGCAAACAGGTGCCTGAAAGGTTGCACTCTATTCTGGGAGAAATCTGATTAATGTTGAAGGACTGTGTCAGGTCAGACTCGGTAACCTGCTCACAGATTATTTAGTGAGTGCCAGGATCAACTCTCAACATTATCTCAGATTTTAATGGTTTTCTTGTGAAGGGCACTTGTAGATGAAACCAGTTTGTATATAAAGTTAGTTGTGGCTCTTAGATCAGAAACTGGTTAAGAAGAAATTCTTTCCTGGAGCAGGTAGTAGTTTGAAAGAATGAATGATTCATCAAATGGAGTTGCAAGAATTATAATTGCATTCTTGCTTTAACACAAATTGTTGCATTTGAACCCATGGTGAAATCTTATCCCTACTGATATAAGAATTCCTCAAAAGAAGTATCTTTTAAGTTAACTATCTTAAATTCTCTTGGGGAAGGAAATGGGGAACATCTGCAATAGTGTCAACAATAAAAACTTTAAATAAAAAAGAAAAAATTATCTTATGAATTTCTAGGTATCCTTCCAACTGCTTGAAAAGCACCGGAAAAAAAAGTGGTACTTCTTTATGGTAGGGTAGACCTGTCATCCTCCATGCTTCTTTTTCCCCTACCCCCCCCCCC